GTAGCTTCTGGATACTCTTCAAGGGTAGCCCCATGTAAAGCGCATTACAGTAGTCCAACCCAGAGGTGACCAGGGCATGAGTGACCGTGCTTTGTGTGCACTGGTGAGGGGCTTGTCCAAGACCTTTTCTCATGTTATTTTCTTGGCCAGGGCTCAAGCCCTGCTTATCTGACCATTGCCTTGGTAGCGGCTCTTCCTCTTGTCCTTCAAGGCCATTCCCTATGTCCTCTACAGCATAGGGGCTATAGGGATCTAAATTCAAGGATTTAAATTCCTTGAGCAAAGTGTGGGTGGAGCGCACACTTCCCTACGCTTAGTTTATAGACCTATTATTTCCTAGATCTCAAGTCTGTTTTCCTCTCAGGACAGGATGCTCTTCTCAGTAAACTGCCATTTCAACAAGAGAAACGTCTTAACTGTGCACAGACAACAGTATCTCCACTATGGCACTTCTCTTCCTCTCTCTATCTTGTCACTCATTGCTTGAACCATGTTCAGTCTGTCCGAGATGCCCTCAATAATGCTCTCAATGTGTACAATAATGCCACTTGCCTCTTTGCATAAACCCAAAAGCTGAAAACGGCAATAGTGATCAACAGCAGCAGTGCAGGAATGCTGGAAATTAAGATGTACAGAAGATTCCAAGCAGGCTCTAGAAACAAAGGAAATCAAGAGTTTTAATACGTTACTGAGCACGAAGTTTTCTCACGATAGAATTCTGACTTTTTTCCCCATTCATTTACGAGATGTGGAGAGATACCCTCTGTAAGGTATAAAGCCAAAGGAACAATATACATTAACCCTCTTTGGGTGTGGCCAAGACACTTTTTCCTTCTCCGAGAAATTCATGGTATTATTAAAACTATAGCTACGAAAGAGAGAAATTGCAATTGATTTTTTAAAAATATTTTTTATTAGAAATGTTCACAAAGAGAAGATAAAACATGAAATAACATAAAATAAGATTAAATAAAAGGAAAAGGAAAAGTATGGTGAGAAATTAAGTGATTAAGAAATACAAATAGAAACTAAGAAAATATATATAAAGAAGCAACTTCTGATCTTTACAGCAGTTACAACAAACTTATCCTCTCTCCTCCCTTATTAAAATTATGAGAAATTGTGATGGATTTTCTTAACCTTTGGCCTCTGTGAGGGTTTTATTAGCTGCGTCCTCTTGAACAGGTGTTTCTGGGGATGTGAGTGCCAAAGACTCTGTTATGTACCCTAGGAAAGAAATCTGGGTGTTAAGAATATTGTCTTAAGAATGTAAACAGTCTATTTGGATAATTCAGGATTAAGGAGGCCCTAAAATTGATGGAGAGGGCTTATGACTAGGATAGAACACACATTCAGCAGAAGGTCCAAATTCTGATGTCAACCATTTAGAAAAGGATCCATTTGCATCAAACATTCAAAAAACTAAATGAGAGCCATGGGGTCAAAAGAGCAGACTTTATTTATTATTAAATGGATACCCCATCTTTCCTTTAGGGAGTCAAGTCCAGAGATGGGGCAAATCTCTCCTGCTTTTCCCATTAAAAAGCAACAACCCTGTGAGGAAGGCTGGCTGAGATGTAGACACTCTCTGAAGTCACCAGAAGGTCCTAGGCTCTGTGGTCAAACATGGACTCAAGCTGGGTCTCCCTGATCCCAGCCTGCCATCTCAACTGCTGCACCACGCTGGCTGTCTCAATCTAATATAACCATTTCTTTGGCTTTCCTGCCTTGCTTGGGACAACTGTTATTTATGCTAGTTTTGGCTCTTTTCCCAAAAAGTCTGAACGGGTGGAGAAAGACTCTCTCCCCTACTTTCACTGACACCAAATGTTACCTGTCTGAGAAGCAGCCAATTCAGAGACAACTGTTGGCATTTCTGCAAGGGGAGGAAAAACAATAGTAAGATTGGGGAAAAAAAAGGTTCGGGGAAAAAAACCACAAACAAAACAAGAAGATCCTATATTTGATTAGAGGAACTTGGAAGCCAACATGCACGAAACAGATGTCTTGTACGCTGACCGCAAAAACAGAAAACAACCCGCTTTCCAGAATTCAGAAGTGAATGCAAAGGGCTGGCCTCAAGGCAGTGTGCTAATTCAAACGATGCGCTAATTGAACCCACTGGGATACTGTTTCTGCTCTACTTGTTGGTGTGCTGAAAAAAATTACAACCCTTCCACTTTTCCACGCCTAGAAAAAAAAATGCTTCCGTTTGCGTGGCTTTCACCGGAGACCTGTGGCCAAAAATTCAGGCGCACGTCCTTCAGGGAAGCAGGCAAGATGGATGGATTTGCACAGGTTTGAGCTCTGAGATTAATGTAGGCGCCCCGATCATGCGCAGCGAGCCGTTTGTCCCTCTAGTCACAGATGGGAATGGTTGACTTCTGTCTCGACTAATTAAGGTTTTGGAAAAGATCTGTAACTTGCTGTCGAAACCATTTATTCATGTTGTGATTGCATCACTTCAAGCTTTGGCTTCAGATTAAGCTGGTTGGCTTTCTTGAGTGTAAATTTTCAAAAATTTGGTGTGAGCAGCACCTCTGCATATGAACAACAGGACTTTAATTATTATTATTATGCATGTTAGCTCAGTGTTTCTCAACCTTGGCAACTTTAAGATGCGTGGACTTCAACTCCCAG